ATTGTTGTTTGGCAGGTCCGGGCTGGGGATTCGAACCCGCCACCTTAGGTGTACGTGGCTGGCGCCTTAGCCGGTTGAGCTATAGGTGCCGAGCCAGGTCTGACTACTTCTTACCACCTCTGTTTCTCCCACTCTAATCTAAGACATCATCTCTCAGTCAGATTAGCATCATAATCTCTTGCTCTCCCTGCCTCCATTCTTTGTCCCCACTGATCTATCTTCCACACAGCAGCCAGGGGCCTGTTGAAAACTGGTGGTTTCATATAACACTGAGGATAAGTCCATACCAAGATCCTACATGATCAGGCCTCGAGCTACCTCTCAGACTTCATCTAACAGTCTTGCCCTTGCTTATTGCACTCCAGTCATAGTGGTCTTCTTGCTTTTTTTCTCCATCATGTCAAAAATGTTCCTGCCCCCCAGGGCATTTGGAATTGGTATTTTTTCTGCCCCCCAAACTTTTCCCTTAGTGCTTCTTTACTACATACAGGTCTGCCAAAATACCACTTCTTTAGAGATCTCTTCCCTGACTACCTTATCTAAAATAGCATCTCTGTCACTGTTTGTCCTCATAACCTGCCTAATTTTCCTTGGTAGCACTTGCCACTATCTGAGATGACTGTTTATTCTCTCACCCTCCCTAATTTTTTTTATTAGCACTCATCATTCCCCAAAATAACTTCATATAATTATTATTTTAAAATAATTCTTCCTCTTCCCCTAGAATATAAGCTTCATCAGAGCAGGGACTTTGATACTCTGTTCTTTACTGAATTCTCTAGTGTTACAATAGTACTTTGTACACAGAGGGCCTTCACATATTTATTTAACAAATGACTTCTTGATAAGGAAATGTGGTGGAAAGAGTGTGGGCTTTTGAATCATTTAGAGTTGGGTCTGAATTCTTATTCTGCTTCTTATTAAGCACATAGTAGATCACTTACCCTTTCTAATTCTCAATTTCCTCATCTTTAAAATAGGAATAATAGGCCAGGAGTGGTGGCTCATACCTGTAATCCTAGCACTCTGGGAGGCCGAGGTGGGTGGATTGCCTGAGCTCACGAGTTGAAGACCAGCCTGAGCAAGAGTGAGACCCCCCTCTACTAAAAAGAATGAAAAACTGAGGCAAGAGGATCGCCCCAAGAGTTTGAGGTTGCTATGAGCTGTGACACCACAACACTCTACCAAGGGTGACAAAGTGAGACTCTGTGTCAAAAAACAAAAGTAAAAAAAAAAAAATAGGAATAATAAACATCTGCATTAGCCATTTATTTTGAAGAGTAAATGAGCGAATGTGCTAACTGCCTAGTGTTCTCTTAACATCTCTCTCCACCTCCTGTTTATCTCTAATTACAGTATTCTGACCACTTGACTTTCTCTGTGATCCTTAAGTACTTAATTTGCATTATATGAATATTCAGTCTGCTTTATGACTATACCTAATTTGTTTCCTGTGTGTTTTCATCATTTTCAGATTAAAACTCCTGCAAGTAGGAGGGTCATTTGCATACTATATATAATCATATCCCCTACCTTCTCTGTCCTTTTCTTAGCACATACCCACTTTCCCTAATGCCTTCCTCATTCCAGGATGCTTAATTGTCTCTTCTGATTCTAATGCATTATAACACAAACCAGGTGTACTATGATCTCAGAAATACTTGTAGAGACCTGAATTGCTGTGTTGGAAAGGACTTTTAAAATAATATAATCCACTCATCTTTCAAATACAGAAAAAGTCCCTGAAGGAGGAAGCGATTTGCAAATCACTAGGATAGTAATTGTCTCCTGACAGTAAGTCATTATTAGTTGGAAAATTCGGTAATAGGTTTCAATAAGCATAGTAATTCTAATAGAAAATTATAGTACGAATGACTCAACTGAAAACTTCTGATTGGCTCAAGATATTTTGCAGTGACTTTAGTGACCAAATCTTTCTCCATTTCTTCAGACTGTCAGTTAGAGAAATTGCCCATGAGGCCGCGGGACCGGTCCCGTGTGATTGATGCTGCCAAACATGCCCACAAGTTTTGTAACACAGAAGATGAGGAGACTATGTATCTTCGGAGGTAAGAGGTTGATATTCTATGTCTAGGATTTCCCTATTGTGTTGGGTCTATTTCTGAAGAATATAAATATCCCATCTAGTGTTGAACAGATCATCTAATTAGGCCCAATACTTTGACATTTGTGATAGTTTTCTAACTTCAGTTAATTCAGCAATACTTTTATTATGCTTGTTGAAATGGTGCTGAGATATGATTCCATTGCTCTTTGATTTGATTTGTAACCGAATTACAGGTTTTTTTTTTTTTTTTTTGAGACAGAGCCTCAAGCTGTCCCCCTGGGCAGAGTGCTGTGGCATTACAGCTCACAGCAACCTCCAACTCCTGGGCTCAAGCAAGTCTCCTGTCTCCGCCTCCCAAGTAGCTGGGACCACAGGCGCCTGCCACAACGCCCGGCTATTTTTTGGTTGCAGCCGTCATTGTTGTTTTTTTGGCGGGTCCGGGCTGGGGATTCGAACCTGCTACCTTAGGTGTACGTGGCTGGCGCCTTAGCCGGTTGAGCTATAGGCGCCAAGCCCGAATTACAGTTCTGAATGAGTTTATTCAACCTGTAATCTTTTGGAACATACCAGGTACCTGGTGCTGAGCTAGGTACTGGAACTGTGAAGATGAATAAGGTATGATCTTTACCATTAAAGAGCTCATGGCTCAGTGAGGAAATGGTCTACCATTGTAATAGGAAGATATACTGGTGTTGTGAACAAAAGGTTATGGGAAAATAGGTGTGAGTGGGTCATTTTGCTTGAATAGTGGTGTGATGATGTTTGTGTTGGGCCTGAACTAAAATTTCACCAGGTAGATGAATGGGATGAGGAGCATTCCAAGTGGAGGGACTGTAGAAACATTAAAAGTATCAAACATGGTATACTTGACAAATGAATAGTCCTTTGTGGCTGGAGCATAGGTTACTTCACAAGAAGGCCTTCAGATATACTGGGATGAGGACAGAGTAAAATGCTCAAGTGGACAAGTTTGGACTTTATAGGCAATGAAGAGCCATCTCCATTTTACAAGGAGGTGAGTAGAGTGATATGGTTAGATCTGATTTAGATTTGGGAGTCTTTGGTACCGTAGAACCTCTGTAAGTTGACCACCCAAGGTACTGTAACAAACTGGTCAACACTCAGAGGTGGTCAACATAAACAACTAGGCCTAGGGTGGTGGCTGTGGCTCAAGGAGTAGGGCATTGGCCCCATATGTCAAGAGTGGCGTGTTCAAACCCAGCCCTGGCCAAAACAAAAACAAAAACTACAAAAACAAACAAAAAAAGAACTAGGCCTACTGTACTGATATGTGCATGTGGGGTATGTCTGGTCTTTGATAATTAGGTCAACTCGAGTTGGTTGATGTAGGGAGATTCTTCTGTATATATTGGTAATTGAAACCTGAGAAGGAATAAAGAGTGTGGATCAAGAAGAGAGGACTGAAGGTTTAAAAGGTATATAAAAGAATTGGAATAGAACCAGGAGAATGTAATGATGTGGCAAACAAGGGAGGAGGGAGTCTTAAGAAGTGTGTATGGGGGTCGGGGGATCGGCACCAACAGATGTCAGATACCACAGAAAGGTCAATCCTAGGAAATCAAAAGAACCATCCATTCATTCAGCAAATACTTCATTTACTGATCTTCTACCGTGTACCAAGTACTGTCCTAAAAGCCTGGACTGTACCAGTTTCAGTTTGCTAGAGCTTCCATGATAAAATAACACAATGGGTGGCTTAAAACAGCAGAAATTAATTGCCTCATAGTTCTAGAGCATAGAAATTTGAAATCAGGGTATTGGTAGGGCTGTGCTCTCTCTAAAGCAGTGATTTTCAACTGGTGTGCTGCGAAAATTTTTAAAGATTAGTAATTAGGCTCGGCACCTGTGGCTCAACTGGCTAAGGCGCCAGCCACATACACCTAAGGTGGCGGGTTTGAATCCAGCCTGGACCCGCCAAACAACAACGTTGGCTGCAACCAAAAAATAGCCGGGCGCTGTGGCGGGCGCCTGTGGTCCCAGCTACTTGGGAGGC